GCTTGCCGTTGACGGTGCCATCTCGGAGGCGGAAGATCAAGTACATGGTGGACGTGACGTGTCTGCAGCGGGCCGATACCAGCATATACGACATATACGAAGATATTCCGATACAGAGACACATGGAAAATCATTCACGCCAAAAGTCGATGAATTTCCCACGCCTCCCGTGTCAGGATCGGCTGTGACACCATCATCAGCCATGGACACCATGAATGTTGACTCAACTGCCCACAGTGACGAAGACGCAGCACCCTGTCCCGCTGTCGCCCGCCGACGTCGTGAGGATGACGGTCCTGATCGCGATAACGTTCGACTGCCTGGGCGCCTGAGCCCTGGGCCGAGAGAGGCTCTGGGCCTCAGACGGAACGGTCCTCTCTTGAAGCAGCCGTCGAGACCGTCAAGTCCCCGAAGTGAGTCGAGAACCAGCATAACAGCCCCGCTGGAATCCTCGTCGCAATCCCAAAACGTATATCCTGCTGGCTACGAACGTCCAGCCTCGGCAGACTCAATCGACGATGCTGTCGAGTCGTATCTTTGCTCCCCGCGTCTGTCTCAAAAAATCCGACACCCACAAACTGGACGTATTATTTCCTTCTCTGAAGTGGGTGATGCTACCGGGTCAGCAGTCTTTTGTTGCGTCGGCATGGGCTTGACGAGATACATTACGGCCTTTTATGACGAACTGGCCTCGACACTCAAGCTCCGTCTAATCACTCCGGACCGACCTGGCGTCGGTGGCAGCGAGCCATACGCCGACGTTGCGACAAGTCCGTTGAGTTGGCCAGGTTAGTGAATGTTCTTGTCGATCTTTGTTTTGAAATAGCAACCCTGCCGTGCCCTGTGAACAAAGAAAAGTGAGGACAAGAAGATGGACAAATTTTGATGCTCGCAAGGACCCATTCCTACCCACTAATCCGATTCCAGACGACGTCTATGCCATCTGTCAGGCTCTCAAAATCAGTAAATTCTCGATTCTTGCCCATTCAGCCGGTGCTATTTATGCCCTTGCGACTGCCTTGCGCATGCCTCAACATATCAGGGGTCGCATTCATCTACTGGCACCTTGGATCCCTCCTTCACAGATGAACGTTTTCGGAGGGTCTCAATTGCTCCCACCGACAAATGCAATTCCCACGTCCCAGAAAATTCTGAGACACTTGCCCACGACTTTTCTCAAGGCCGCTAACAGCAGCTTCATGACGGCAACCAGCAGCTCTATCACGAGCTCGTTACCCAAGAACTCCAGACGGACAAAACGCAAATCAAATACGCATGGCAAGGACGGAATTAGTGCTGGTAGTCGAAACGTCACCGTCATGCACGACAACCAGCCGAGTGAGACCCATAAGAATGACCGAGACGAAGGTCAACAGAGCGATCCGGACCTCAGGGCTCCTAACATGAGCGAAGATATGGATCGGGTCCAGCCTGTCCATGGAACAAGTAATGATGGGCACTCCGCAACAAAATCCTCGACCGAAGTCATGGCCGATCGGGAACGACAAATGACGTATGAGACGCGAGTCACTCATGCAATCTGGGAACTAGCTACCACAGGGGCGAATCCCGCCGTTGACCTCCTAGTATGTCTCGAACGACGGCATACAATCGGATTCCGCTATGTTGATATCACCCGCCCAGTTGTCATCCACCATGGCAGCAGAGATTCGAGAGTGCCGGTTGAGAACGTCAAGTGGCTTGGCAAATCAATGAGACGGTGCGAGGTTCGTGTTCTGGAAGGCGAGGGTCACGGTTTGATGGCAAGCGCAACGGTTATGGGATCGTTACTCATGGAAATGAGCAAAGAGTGGGAAGATTGGATGCGTGTAACAGGAGCAGATGGTCGCAAGGACCGAGAAAGGGGCCGAAGGGGGACAATAAGCTCCGCAGCATGACGTTTTCTTTTTCTTACTATTTTGAACTAGCCAAACAGCATTGGTAAAAATTTTCCTTTGGTCTTCGTTTTTGACCCTTGAGATTTTATTTACGACTTTATCCGGTAAGATTCATTTTGAAGCATTACAAGGCGAGATACCAGGGCATAAGTGCCGGTGCGTGTAATATAGTCTAATTGTTGTGGCTGAGCAAGGGAAATGGTTTTGGAGAAGGGTAGAGCGTGGAGTCTCTTCCATGTAGCATGGGCTGATGAGTGTATTCTAATGGGTTCTGCTGGTATCTGTTTATCTGTCCTTTTGATTGAGACGGTGTGCATCATGTTGGACATATGCGACAGCCCGAGGGGATATGCAGTCCTGCTACATACAGGTGGGATGTAATTGTGACAAGGGCCTGATGAAGGGGCTTGGAATTGATGGATTTGATTTAAAGCCAATCATTAACTTTAGCTTTCTAAGGTGCTCTAAGAAGCGAAGTTTCCTCTTAAGCCCTTATGATCCTTTACACTCTTTATATATAAGGTCCTTGGGTAGGGATGCTGAAGGTTCTAATATCCCTCTTTTTTTTACTGCATGGTTCGGAAAACGTCGGTTGAGAGCATGCGAGACGTCTAACCTGCAACGTTTCCTATCATTAAAAAGGCATCTACGTCTCCTCCAACACACGCGTCCAATCGAACTTCCTCCATCCCTTCCTCCACCCTTCCACCCTTTGATCACCCCTGACCCACCGTCCCTGCTTCTTGGCAATCCCGGGTTCAGCATCTACAATCCCACCCAGTACCTCTCTCGCGAACAAATCACCCCTCGGCCACCGATCCGCATCCTCGACGATATGACCCAGGCCGCCGTCTAGCGTAAACCACACGTGGAAATACGGCATCTCCTTTGCCAAACTCCTCCGGAAAGCCATCTTTCCCATCCCGTCGCGGGCCCCGGCCCCAGTATCAATAATCTTCCTGTGCTGCGACCATTCCTCGTCCGATGACAGAAAAGCCTCCTTGAAGTAGGCAGGTGCGGTGGCGCCCTCAGAATAGGGAATCGGGACAGCCACCATGGCGGCGTGCAAGTGACGATGCGGCGCTGCTGCGTTTTCGTAAAAGACGACCTCGCGTCCCTGGTCATGGTACATGCGCGTCAGAGCCTTCATAAAATTGCGGATTTCTTCCCACTCGTCGTCATCGCACTCGAGGAGATTCACTCTGTGGGAGAGTGGCACAATGACGGCTCCGCCAGGGCTAATTTCTGGTTCAGGAGGTAGCGTGAGGAACACGCGGGTGGCCAGCGAGACGACGGGTGCAACGGGCGGGCGATTTTGTTCTTCATGATAGCAGAGCGGGCAGGAATCGAGAACCCGGTTGAGCCTTTGGAATTGAGTGACGGCCATGTTTTTGAGGTTGAGCTCGCTTTTGTGGACTCGCTGTGCAAGCTTGGAGGCATTCTCATCCATGTAGTCCAGGTCGTTGTCGAATCTTCCGTCCTTGGCGATGCGCTCGGCGAAGCGGAGTGCCTCTCCGCCTGGTGCGTTCTTCGTGCGTCGCTCCTCACGCAGCATGTCCTCGATGGTCATGTCCGCATTTTCTTGGACCAGACCACGTTCGCGGCCGCGCTTGGTCTCGATTGGTTGGACTTCTCCGCGGGATCCGGCTAGTTGGCGGTTGTGCATTGTGCCAAGGACCACGGCTTCGGGGGCATTCTGCAAGGATGAGGATGCGAGGGCCGCGGCGCGGCTATATTCTTGTTCAAGTTGTGCTGCGTTAGGCGCTCGGCGAAGTTTGGCTTTCATCATTTGTGCGCGCAGTCTGTTGAGCGATGTTGGGTCCATGGGCGTTGTCTGATCGCGCACGATGATTCCTGGCCCTGACCCTGACCCTTCTTCTGGAACTCTGCGTGAAACGACCTTCGACTGGATCTTTTCATGTTTCTGTTCTTGCTCCCGTGCAAGGTACAGCTCTCCGGTTGGCCTCTCCTTCTCTTGGTACCCTGACCCATAGATCCTCCGACGTTCCATCTCCTCTTTCTCCTCGCGCGCGTAGTCGAAGTCCTTTAGGCTACCGTAACGTTCTATAGCAACTTCGTCGACTGGCCTGCCACTATCTTCGGCTGTGGTATACACCCCTCGCAGCCTCGTCATCCGCCACGAGGATCCTGAGTCTCCAAATGTGTAGTCCACGGTCTTCGCGGAAGTCTGGGGGGGGACGTCTAACAGAGGCGAGATACCGTCGTTGAGGTTCTGCAGATGGCCATGATTTAGTTCGCGCGCATGAATGATCCGCTTCGTTTCCTTCGGAGGTGGCACATCCACGTTTGGCGCCGCGCGGTGAAGGTGTTCGACATCGAGGGCGGATGGTCTCATCATCCAGGCATCGCGTACGGGCATGTTGATTCTTTCGTCCCTACTATGTCCATCTGTATTGTCATCGCTCCGAGCCTGTTCACCACGGTTCTGCTGGTCGTCATCTCGATGGCGACGGTGTCTGTGTCGTGACCGATGTTCGTCGTCACCGTCTTGGCGTGTTCGCTTATGGCTGCGATCATCTTCGTCATAGCGTCTGCGACGATGACTTTTCGGTCCATGCTTGCTGTCTCCATGCGAGTGCCTGTGTTTATGATGACGTCGCTCGTGGTCATCCTGGTGAGACTTGTCACGCTGTGCCTTTTCTGTTGCCAGAGTCTTCTCAAACTCCTCTAGACCGTCCATGACAGATTTATCATTGGTCGATGAAGTAACAGTGTTGATGGGGAGCGCGGAGCAGGAATCAAGTTGTTTCCAGTCGTGGTGGTTGGTTCAGTTCTGCATGTCATTTTTGGCGTTGGCAGGAATCGCGAAGTGTTGATTAATCAGTTAGGCTTAAGTCTTTTGTGGGGCATTGATCATGGGCTTCGTGAGGAGGTGAAGAGCCGTGACCAGTCTGGTCATGTGTCCGAGGGTTACAGCTGGGTTGTAAAAATCCGCGCAAGAACAGTCGTAGCTCGACTAGGAAAAAAAATTGTTTTAGCAAAGTAAATGTAGTTACGAAACCAGGGATGTTCTAAACGACTATCATTGATAAAAAAAGGGTCAAAAAAAGAAATTTGTGTCACGGTTTATCTAAAAAAAGACGATCGCGCCAGGACTCGAACCTGGAATCTCAGCAACCGGAACGCTGCGCCTTGCCATTAGGCCACGCGACCGAATTGCAAGGACGCGAAATGATTTAACCTATATTGACATCTGCTTCAGCTTCGGCGTGCATTCGTACACAGGGCAAATTAGACGTTGTAAGCACTGGGAAGGTACGTAACAGAAGCTCTGATGCTAGGGTTGCACCTTAAAATGATAAATTATTGTTATCCGTTTTTAATAAAATATCCTTTTTTTTTTAAATAACTTTCCTCCTTAGCTTTTAGCTGTTTTAGCTATAACAATTGTTAGCAGCTGGCACTTACCTGTTCTATGTTAGTATTTTTAGGTTAACACGCTATAAGGAGAGAAAAAAGACTTTAATTTTTCTAATGTATATATACACTTAAGATATTGTGTTAAGGCAAATTAGCTAAAGAACTGGGGTGGCTGCAGCGTAGGATACAGTTATAGGGGACTTAATAAGGGCTAAAGGAGGCCCTAAATATTTAATTTAAGGGAAAAGTATAAGTAAAGAGTATTTTTATCCCCTTGGTGCCCAGAAGGCTACACCTACTGTGTCGGGGCAAATTGGTCGGGAGACTGATGTGGCTGCAGCGCAGGATGTGGTCGCAACTGGGTAAGGGTAGGCCTAACTATCTAATTAAGGGGAAAAGTATAAGTAGAGAGTGTTTTTTATAGCTTTTCTTTACACCCTATAGTATGTTTTTGCGCCTATCTAAAATATTAAAATATTAAAATAAGATCTTTATTATATTCCTTTTTTCTTATATGCCTTACTAATATATAAGCTTCTAAATTAAAAACGCTTACTATTATTGCAAAGTAAATACAATAAATTATTTAATTAGAAAGAGTTCTATAATTTAAAACTAAAATTAAGCTTATTACTATATTAGTTATTATTATAGAAGAGGCAAGAGAGTTATAGTATTATTAAGGGAGGGTCCCTATTATAACTAAAAGGTAAAAAAAGGCTGTATAAAAAGATAAGAGTTTTAGTTATTGTTTTTAGCTAAATAAACTATCTAATTATATAATAATTCTACTTTTAAGATTGTTTCCTACGCCCTTTATATATTTAACTCTATAAATTCTAAGGTTTATTACTAATAGTATAATAGCCTTTATAAATTATAAAGTTAAGTGTATTAAAGGGTTATATAGGTTTTAAGGTTAATATAAATAGTGGTTTCGCCTAGGTATATATTTTAATTACCTTAGTATAAGCTAAGTTAAAAAAAGGCACTTTTTAGCTGCTACTAAACTAAGTTTATTATAATAAGACCCTATTATACTAATAAACTAACCTATAGCTAGCTAAACTATTAGAACTATAATATATTAATAGAAAGATAATAATTTTTTTAGTTAAGATTATTTAATCTAATTTAAAAGCTAAAGATAGACTAAAATTAATAGTTAAAAGCTAAAGATAATATAGCTTAATAGAATAATTATAACTTATAATTATTAAATAGGCTTACTTACAGCCCCTATACTTTATAAAGGATCTTAATTAGCTTAAAATCTATAAAAACTGTTCTTAACTTAAAGACTAATATAGCTAATACTCTTAAACAACTAATTAGCTAGTAAATAGCCTAATTTACGCTTATATCCTTAGTTATTTATCTTACTTCCTTTATTTCTAAGAGCTATCTCCTTACTCTTTTTATTTTTTTATATAGTATTATTAAGTTTAATACTAATAATATTATAAATTTACTTAAAGCCCTTATAGCTAATCCTACACTATTATCTTTTTTAGCTCTTTTATTTAATTAAGACAATCCCCCTTTATACACTTCTATATTTAACTAAATTAACGCTTCTAAGCCTTTTTTTATTTCTTTAAAAGTAAGTTTTTATACTAAACGCCCTAGCATTTCTAAGGAAGTTTTAGCTTCTAATACTAGTAAGATAAATAATACCTTTAAAGAAATTAAGCTAAATAACTTTACTAAGCTCCTTAGTAAAACTATTAAATACTAATAAGCTATTATTTCCCTTTAAAATAACTTTAATATTAATAAATTTACTAAAAAAGATATTACTAAGTTTATTAAGGACTTTAAAGATAAGATAAAAGTCTTTAGTATCCTTAATATTAATTAATACTATAAGTTTAAAAAATAAGTTACCCTTAAGCTTAGGAAGATTATTAAGCCTTTAATTACTACTTATATATAGAAAGAAGCTAAGGAGGTGCTACTTTATTAGTTTATAGCTACTTCTTAGAAATAGACTAAGAAAGCTATTAATTAATTAAAATAACTTAATACTTAGCGTCCCTAAAGCTTCTTTAATATATACCTTTAGCTTTAGTAGTATTAAGCTTTTATATTTAAAGCTTATCTTAAAAAATAGAAATTTATTACTAAACAGTCTAAATATATATATAAGGCTATATTTAACTAAGTAATTATTAGCTTCCTTAATAGGTATAATATAACTAAGGAGGCTTTTATTATATCTAAGTATAAGTATCTCTAAAGCTATTTAAATAAATATATTAAAACCTATCTTCTATTAAAAAGCTATAATCCTTACTAAATAACTACTAAGAAGACTAATAGCTAACTTATTAATTCTAAAAGTAACTACTAGCTTTTACTTAACTAATTATATAAATACTTAAATAAATAAGCTCCTATTAGTTAGCCTAAAGTGTAAAGCTCTATAACTAATTTTAATAATTACAAAAGTTAGATAAATATACTTATAAAGTAGCTTAATAAGCTATATATTATAATGCTTTAAGGGAATGCCCCTATACCTAATCTCCTTAGAAAAATTAATAAATATTATAATTTACCTATAGTAATAATATAAAACTCTATTTATACTAAGAAGTAAGAGGAGTATATTAATATCTATATAAATATATATAAAGCTAAGTGTTATCTAAGTAATAGATACTTTTATTATAATAATAAGGGCTACTTTTCTAATAAGTGTAAGTACCTAGCTTATAATTAAAAGATTAGCTTTATTTAATACAACTCCTAAGCTTAAGTTTTAGCTATTAATAATAATCTTTAAAAGTACTAAGTGCTACTAATATTATATAATCTCTTTTTAAATACTAAAAGCTATATTTAATAGTTAATAGTTTTTTAGGTTAAATACTTTACTAATTATATTATTAGCTATTTAATTCCTTAAGTATAAGCCTTTAACTAGGTTACTAAGGAGAATTAAATAATAATACTAAAGGAGAAGAAAATTATTAATAGTATAAGCTAAAGATTAAACTTATTTATATATTAGCCTAAATATTAAAGGCTATAGCTAACTAAGATCTTATAAAGGGATTTATAACTAAAGACTAAAGTAATTATACTTTATAAGGTTAAATAGTCTTAGCTTAATTAGATAAATATCTATATTATACCTCTTATTAATGCTAATGCAACTAAAAGAGCTTAAGTTAAGAATATTATAAATAAACCTACTATAAAGACCTACTCTTAGCCTATTAAACTAAAGGTTAGTAGCTAAGACTTAAATAAATACTATAAGAGACTTATTAAGTAGCTTTATAAAGAGGTTCTTTTTAAAAAGATAGGCCTTAGCTTATATAATCTCTTTAAGCTCCTTTCGCCCCTTACTAAATTAGTTAGTAAAGAATATTAAGTTAGGGCAAAAGGTGTTAAAGAGGTCCTCTTCTATAATAGCCGCTTTAGGGCTATAAAACTAATCCTATTAGGTAAGTTCTATAAGTTTAGTAAAGACTAACTATTTAATCTAATAGCGCTTTTAAATATTATTTAAGTAATAGCTACTTAAGTTAAATATAATAAGGCTACTAAAGCCTTTATAGTTAAGCCTATTAGTAAATCCTTAGTTAGTATTAGTATAGCTCTATAGACTCTTTTATAAGAATAAATACAATTATTAAGGGTTATAGAAAATACACTTAACTTAATAATAGAATTATTTAATTAATAGGTAATAGAGGTGCTCTTTATAAAGATTAAATAGCTATAGACGCTTTTAATTATTATTTTAAAAAAGTAAGATATTCTTTACCTAAATTTATAAGTAAGGCACCTATAAGAGCTGCCTTACTTATAAATTTGCCTTAAAGACCTAAAAGGACTACTTTTTCTAGCATTAATTAACTTTAAATTATAAAGGAATCTAATTAGTAAAGACTTTATAAGAAGAGCTAGTTTATTAGTCTATCTAATAAAGATTAAGGCTAATAGCATATTATACTTAAACTATTTAGTAAAGCTAAATAGGGAGGTTAAGACTAAGCTCTATCTTAGCAATATTTAGACTCCTATTTACTTCTATATTACACTAAATACTATCTCTATCTTAGTTATCTTAGGTATACTATTTATCTAATAAGCTTAGGTAATATTTAATTATAGCTAAAGGATTAAAGAAATATAAGTAAGGTGCTGTTTTAGCAATACTATTATAGTCTTTTATACTACTAATTCTATTATATAGAAAATACATAATAATAACAATAACGTTAAAGCTCTAATAGTAAACGCATTAATTTTAAAAGGGAAATAGTATAAAATAATAACCTAAAATAAAAATTAATTAATCTAAACTAAAATACATATATAAAATATAGATTAAATAATCTAAAATAAAATATAAACTAAATTAAAACCTAATAAAGTGCTATACCTATTTATACTTAATAAGGAAAGGAAGATTATAGGGCTTATTTTTAAAGAAGCTTTATTTAAATAAATATAGTAACTAAAGGAGGCTACTAAAGAACTTTAACTAATATAACTAATACAAATATCTAATCTTATAGTAAATATAATATATAAAAGAGTGGCTAATAAGGTACACCTACTTAATAACATCCCTTTTAATAGCTTTATCTCTAATAGAGACCTTAAGTAAAAAATAAAAAAGTAGGATAAAGTTAAGCAACGCCTTAATAAATATAGAAAGTATAAAGAATTTATTATTAATAGGTTCTTTAAACACTTATAAGGGTTTTAAATAACTAAAGAAAGATTAGATTAAATAATTAAAAAAGTTAAAAAATATCTTATACCTTAAGAAA